AGAGAGACGCCACACAAACTGGGGAGCACATGCTAAAATAATAAAGATAAAAATTCCTTCGTATTGATTCAAGTTAAGTTCTAAATATTTGCTCTGTTTCTGTGATGTCGACCATATTAGTGCTGAAATTTTAAAGTGTGAATGTGGAGTGTTCTCTTTTAGTTTGAGGGATGGGAACTTTCAGGAGAGAAAAGAGCATGGATGGCAATGGAAGACTTGGGTGGCTGTGCCCAACTCACTTGACCCTGATGGAACTCACTTGTCTTACCTGAAAAGCAAATGGTTGGTTTGAATAACTTCAGATCCGACCCCTTCCAGCTCTAACAGTCTGTTTCCATATTGTTTCTTCTAAGATTCCTTCCTTTTTTCTCTGTTCCAGTAGTCTCTGTTCTAAGGTACCCCTCCCTCCTCAGCAATTCTAACATTCTCTGCTCAAGATGTCTCCTAGCTCTGACATTCCATGAAATAGTCTAACCAAGGTGAAAAAAATCAAATGGTGTTTGAAGGAAAACGCACTCCTTGAATTTTATGTAATTCAATCTGACAAATATTTATTGCTTCCAGAGGAGACAGAGGAATAGGATGTGTCCCTGCCCTCAGGAAGCCTACTGGGTGTTAGCCAGCTGCTTCCTCCCACAAACATCTGGGAATATAGCCATGCATTATGTTTCATGGTGGTGTTATTTCTGTTTTCCCCTTACCTCCCCACTTAGACTGGCTCAAAGCACTGATTTGCCTCTGCCAGTGGGGACAATGTCACTCAGGGAACTTAAATGTTGACCCAATAGGAAACCTTTTATGTCAGTGATATTATACCTATTGTACATAATTAGAAACAAACAAAAAACCCCCAAACAACCCAACTTCTAATAAATGGTCCCCCTAATAATCCTGTTTTTTGTTGTGTTTGAAATATAAAAACACATTTAAGTGCTACCTTTGTTTAGATACCAGAAGTGTACAAGCAAAATAACTTGGTGCTTTGATCAGCAGGATTTCTGTAAGTGCCATTAACATACGCATCAGGTAGGTTTTGTCCAAGTACAGTTGGCACACATGGAAATGAATGAAGTTGGCATGTGTTGAAGAAACATGCTCTTTCCCAGTGACATCAATGAGAGTAGTCAGTGTGGAGGTGATGGTGATTCTGCTCTGAGGTGGGACAGCTCTCTGCTTATGACCTCATCCCTTTCATTTTAATCCCTTGCATTCCAGCGTTTAAGTATCCTTTACAAGGCTTTAGCTCCTTCCTGCTGTTAAATGTTTTAAAGTAAATTCCGTGTAATATTATTTAAATACTAAAATTATTCCACATAGAAAATTTAAAGTCTAGAGTTTTAAGGAATGAAAGTCAGTTTTCATGAACAGTTATGTTCTGAGAAGGTTATATAAACAATGTGACACTCCAACTTTGAGGCTGCTCATTAACCCATTGCTCTGATGTTACCACACAGCCATCCTTATTTCCAATTCCTTCTCATTAAGTAAGTATGCATGGAAATATTGACTTAAAGTACGTTAACAGATTATACTTAGAAAGGGCATAGGTATGTGTGGTTTAAAAAAAAATGACAAGTGTTTTCATCAATACTGAAGAATCTCTTATTGAGAAGGTGCTAACGATGAGCTCCATTGCTAGGGGAGCATTAGGGAGCCTTAGTTCTCACACAAGAAGCTGTCAGGTTGTCCCAGGAAAAGTATTTCTGGTGCCTGCAAAAAAATAAAAACCACCCACCAAACATTTGAAGCCCAGGTGATGAGATGAGACAGGAAGTAATCCCTGTAGAATTTCCTTACCGATGATGAGGACATTTTCACATTTGTATACAAAGTTTATTAATCATATTTAAACCAAAATTTAATACATAATCCCTGAATTTAGGAAAGCATCAGAGCAAAGCATTCAAGATATTTCCTCAACATGCAGCAATGTTTGATTTTTAAATTATCTCTTTGGTTTCCTAGAAGTTAAAAGGGGCATTTCATCAATTTGGGGTACCACGTGTTAATGTGGACATTGACAAGATGAAGCAAGCCCAGATGTGAGTGGTTGGGATAGCAAGAGGATTCAATTTCATGTCCTTTAAAGAATGGACAGGGGCAGCTGGGTGGTGCAGTGGATAGAGCACCAGACCTGAAGTCAGGAGGACCTAAGTTCAAATCCGACCTCAGACCAAACACTTGACACTTACCAGCTGTGTGACCCTGGGCAAGTCACTTAACCCCAAGTGCCTAAAAAAAAAAAAAAGAATGGACAAAGGGATGGGGATATTTGTCTTATGGAAGAGAAAGCTCAAGGCAGCAACAACTGGATTATGTGCAGTCGTGTACAGAGAGCCAGCCTTAGAGAGAGGAAGACCTGGGTTCAAGTCTTGCCTTAGACACATACTAGCTGTGGGACCCTGAATAAGTCACTTAACCAACCCCTTCCCCCCCCCCAAGCCTCAGAGCAGCAGGTGTTGCTCTGCTTTGGTGGACAGAGTTTGATCGCCAAGAGTTCCCTACACAAGGAAGTTATAAGCATATACCCCAACATACCATGCCACAAAAGGGTGAGGTAAGCTGTGGCTTTGGGTTGGATGACATGCATTTGAATCCCATTTATACCACTTCTGTGGTCTTTGGCAACACTTTTAATCTCTCTGGGTCTCAATTTTATCATGTGTAGAATCAAGAGTTTGAAGCAGATGATATCCAAGTTTCTCCTTCTCAATCTTCTAATTATTATTTTTAAACATGGGGGGAGGCAGTCATGTTGAAGAGGGAGGAGATATTCTGGATGGTCTAGAGGATGAGGTAAAATAGGTGGAAGCTAAGAGGAGGCAAACTCTGGCTCAAAGCTATGAAGAATTTTTTTTTTTAAACAAATAGTATGTTCCCTAAATGGAATAGGCCACCTTTGAAGTAGTGAGTTCCCCATCATTTAGAAGTAGTCAAGTAGCAGTTTGGTGACCAATGATTTGGGATATTATAGAAAAAAAAATTACTTCAGGTTTCGAGAGATTGGGTAAGTGATTTTTTTGTGTTCTTTCTAACCTAAGAACCTGTGATTTTACAAAGGGGTTACATTTCCATTAGTGTTCTGAATGTTGGCTATGTATGCAGTTAAGGGTGAGGGTTTTCAAAACCCCACAAACAGAAACCAAACCAAGCCACTTGCTCAAAATCAAGATGGTCAGTTAGTGCATATCCATCTAAAGAAAGGAATGGGACACTGTCACTGACTGGTAAACTAGAGATTCTTTTGAGATGTCTGTCTTTAAAAAAAAAAAACCCAAACCAATGTTTTACCTTTTGATTATAGCTGAGAAACTTGCATTTGTCACCAAAATAATGACATATGATGAGGTTATTTTGGGTGATGATGACAGCAAGCTCTTCTCTGGGGGTTCTTGGCAAATCTAGCATCTCCATGAATTTGAAGAGGACCCTACTGCGATGTTAATGACTGATTTCTTTGTCATACTAGGGTAGAAAAGAACCAATCAGATGATTACTGATTGATCCTTGGTCATAATAAAATAATTTGAGAATACAAACAAAAAACCAATTCCCTTCTTCCTCTCCTCACTCCTACTATATGTTGCTTTACTTACGAGGCAGTGTCTTTAGGAATAGAACACAAAAGACAGGCAAGGGATGGAATGAGGCATTGTTTAGGGTGAGGAGAAAACATTGCTGCCTCACATTTTTACAATGCTTTCAACTTTTTCGAAGGGTTTTTGCATCTGTTACCTTATTTTACCAGGATATATCCTTGTGGACTGGAAGAGCACTCCCTGGATATTCCAGACTTCAACCTCCATGAAGACGAGGGTGTGTTACCTAAGCTTTGTGTTTTTCCTCAATGCCTGGTGCAGTTCTCTGTAAATAGTTGGTGCTTAAGAAATATTGAATGAATGAGCGAGCGAGGTCCTCTGCTGGATCTTGTGAACTTCTTAATGTGTAAGGCATTATTTATTATTGAGTTATAGTAATATATAGTACATATACTAATATGTATATATAACATAACATAACATAACATAATACAATATAATAGAGTAATATAATGAACATTTACATGGCATTTTAAAGCCCTCTCTGTATTACATTTTTTGAGCCTCATGATTGCCCTGAGAGGGACTGCAGAAATTAGTGTCCTCATTTTCAGATGAGGCAAAGTTGACTTGCCTTTGTTTGCAGACTTGGAAATTTCAGAGGTGACATGAGAACCTAGGAATTCCTGACTCTGAGTGTAGCAGTCTATTCAGTAGGCTCTAGATACTTGTCATCAGTAAAAATAAAGAAATGGAGCACACACTCCTGAAATATATGCATATTTATTTATAAATCATATACATGTAATCCTGTACTAATATGTCATATATTTTGTAAAACATACATAACAGAAATAAAAAGATTATAGATGAAATAATAATAGCTAGTATTCATATAGTGCTTTAAGATTTGCAAAGTGCTTTACAAATATTATCTCATTGGATCCTCACAACCCCCCCTGGGAGGCAGGTGCTGCTGTTATCCCCATCTTGCAGATGAGAAAATGGAGGCAGACATAATGGAGGTTAAGTGACTTGCCAAGTGTCACATAGCTAGTAAATGCCTGAGGCTGGATTTGAACTCAGGTCTTTCTGACTCCAGGTCACTACATCTTGTCTTATCTTGTCTCCCTAGCTCTTTCAATCAGGAAGTTTGGTGGCCACTCACTGACAGATCTCACTCCTGATTAGCATTGGAGCAGGGCTCTATTTCATACCTGGGTGGGTTTGTCCCTCCTTAAACAACCTATTTCCCTCACACCTCATCATATTGGTGCTGAACTTGATATGGATACTGATGGTCTTTAACCCTCCTGTACCTACGTGGCCTGGAGTCAGGAACACTTGAGTTCAAATTCAGCCTCAGACACTTACTGTGTGACCCTGGGCAAGTCACTTTACTTCTGTCTGCCTTAGTCTCCTCATCTATAAAATGAGGATTATAACATCTCTATTTGTCAGGGTTGTTGTAAAGGTCAAATGAGATGTTTGCAAAGTGCATAGCACAGTGCCTCAAACATATTCCTCCCTACTGCAGTTCAGAACTCCTGAACTCAAGAGTTTCGCCAGCCGCAGCCTTATCAATGGCAGGAATTACAGGCATGCGCCACCATACCTGTCTTGAGTAACAGTTCTTCAGGAAATCATGCTGCCCAACCAGCCTTCAGGGTCTTCCCCTGTGACATTTGTGGATGCATTTAGTGGCTGCTCAGATGCCACACATTTTTTGTTGCGGTCCCAAGGAGTTTTCAGGAACACTCTTGTCTTGGTCCTCTTTCCTGTCTTTCTTGGATTTGAGGTCCAGAGGTGTCTGAGCTGTTTTATAAGAGTATCTAAATAACCAGCTAAGAATATGTAATCATAAGCTATGTACACCAGTGAACTAGAAAAAACGCCCACGTATCTGCCATGTTTGTAGGGAGTTGCAGTTCCACCAATTGGGAACTCTTCTGCTGAGTATAAAATTGATTTTCATCTACAAAGGGTTTCACTTTCTTTTTTTGGAGAATCTTTCTGAAAATGGCATTGCTTTTTCGATGGAGGGATCAAACCAGCCTTTCCAAAATGAGAAGATCCAGTGGATTCTTATACATATTGAAGAGACACTTGCTGGGGAAAGACACATGAATATGTATGTGGGATAGTTTGAATGACTAGAGAGAGCTTAATCACTTCTGCCTTCTTCAAAGTAAGAGGTTGATAAAGCTGCCCACAGGGAGGCCAGAGGGATTTCCAATTTGGAAACCCAACAAACATTAAGCGCTTCCAAAGGGTTAGGGTTGCGGAGAAACAGCAAGGCTGCATAGTTGATAGATATCTATCTAGCCTTAGACTCAAGTAATTACAGATCTAATCTTCCTCTTCTCTTTCCATCTCCAAAATACCCTCCCCCAAAAAGGGATTTATAGCTGCCTTCAAGAATTTGAAAAATTGTTTTTAGGAAAAGCAATTAGACTTGTTATAGCTGGCCCCAGGGGACTGTAGAATAAGGTGGTGGGGGGCAGCTAGATGGTGCAGTGGATAGAGCACCGGCCCTGAAGTCAGGAACACCTGAGTTCAAATCTAGCCTCAGACCAAACACTTGTCACTTACTAGCTGTGTGACCCTGGGCAAGTTACTTAACCCCAATTGCCTAAAAAAAAAAAAGGTAGAATAAGGTGGTGGAAGATGAACAGAGGCAAAACAGGGGCTTCGTTTCATGAAAAACTTTCTATTAGAATTATCCGTAAATGGAATGGGCTCAGGAGTCAGTCAGCCAATAGGGAACTATTAAGTGATTACTGTGTAGTTACAAAGAAAGCCAAGAACAATTCCTGCCCTCAAGGAGTATGCATTCTAAGAAGGAAACAACATGTCAATAGTTATATATAAGGTATAAGTAGAGTAGGAGAAAGGTGATCTGAAAGGGGAAGGCATTAATGCCTAGGGAGGTGGGGCTATAACAGGCCTCCTGCCAAAGCTGGGCTTTGAGTGGAGTCTTGAAGGAAGCCACAAGTGATGGGGCCGACCCCAGTGGCCATGATGGAAACTAGTAGAAAAGCAGGAGATGGGAGATGGAATCCACTGTAGCTGGACCATAGAGTGGGCTAAGGCATGAGAGGCTGCAACACAGCTAGGGGCCAGGTTATGAAAAGCTTTAAATGCCAAACAAGGGATATTATATTTAAACATGGAGGCAATAGGGAGGCCATGGAGTTTCCTATACCTTCCTACACTTTAGAAAAATCACCTTGGAAAGCCAAGTGAAGAACAGTTTGGGGTGGGCAGAGACTTGAGGCAGGAGACCAGTTAGAAGGTGTCCTCGTAAGAGGTGAGGAGGGCCTGAACTAAGAGATCAGGAGATCTTTGAACAAAGACCAGTTTGGGGATGTAGCAGACAGGACTTCTCTTCAGGAGTTAGACTAGATGTCTTCTCAGGATGCTTTTAATTTTAAGGTTCTTGGGCAATCAACAACCCATCTCTGTTCCTTCATCCTTCTCCCCCCATCTTGCCCCAAGCCCTGGACTTCAGGCAATTAATGGTTTTTGGTAAGTCAGTAGAGTACCTTGACCCTTGCTAATGCATGATAATCTTGTCCAATAAGCACTTCTCACAAGATTTCTGGGTATGTCCATTTAGCATGGCTGTGGGCCATGCCACTCCCCCCCTTCCCAACAGCTCCTCTACCCTGTCCTACATGGCAGAAGTGATCTGGGACAAGGGATGGTGGTTCCCTGGTATAACACCGTGAGTGGTGGAAAGTCATGGTCATGGTGTATTAGTTAAGTGCCAGGGTACAGACATATTTCTATCTAATGGCTGATATGCCAGTTATTCAGTAGTATCTTTAATAATGCTAACTTCGCCTATATAGAGGCAATGTAACACAATGCTGCCTTGGAGTCCAGAAGGTCCAGGTTCAAATACCACCCTTGACACAGGCAGGCAAGGATTCTTGGCAAGTTGAGACCTCTGTCAAGGAACTCCCTAGCACTTCCCTCTGGAGTCATCTCTTATGGGGGCTGCAAGGTCCTCACTCACAGATCCTTTGCATGTTGGGGCGTCATTTGCCATAAAGAGTCAACATACCTCAAATCTTCCTCTAAGTAGTTTGGCTTCTTTTTCTGTCTTGTGCTTTTCTCGGTTGGGTTCCTTGCTTCTGAAGAAGAGTCTAGGAGACAAATTGCCGAAAGAAAGATTCGTGTAAGCAGTGGGTGGATGTTTTTATTAACTACCATCTGGTTCCTGTCCTCAGGGGCTCCTGGGATGCTTCTTGGTGTTCCTGTAGGCTCTGGCTGAGGAGCAGAAGCTCTAGAAGCCCTCCTAGATTAGGGGGATCCTCACAGGTTCTCCCAAATGGGTCATAATAATGATTATAACTAATTCCACTTCCAACCCTAATTCTGACCCTGTGTGCCAGGCACTGTGCTAAAACACTGTATAAGTATTATTTCATTTGATCCTCACGACTCTGGCAGATAGGTATTATTATGATTCCCATTTGACAGATGAGGAAACTGAGGCAAAGAGAGGTTAAGTGACTTGTTCAGGGTCATTTTAAAAGCCAGCCTAGCTAAGAGGCTCATCACTGAAAGGTTGGTCAGCAAATGATATGCCACACTGTGTCTGTGGGACTCAGTTTCCTTCTCTGTAAAATGGGGGGGGTTGTTGGACTAAATGACATTTTATGCTTCTGGCAGCACCAGATCTGTGATGCTGTGGGATAGTTCACCTCTCTGGGCCTCAGTTTCCTTATCTGTAAAATAAGAAGTTTGGACCAGATAACCCTTGGGACCTTCTTGGGGTCCAGATCTAGGATCAGTCCACTGACCACAGAGGCCTTGCAGCCATGCTGCGGCAGAAGGAGCGCCAAGAAGGATGGAACCCTCCCCCCCCCCGGAGGACAAAGTTATGTGTAGAAAACTCAATAAAGTCCCTCCCCTTTAAACCAATGTGGAATATATTCTTTTGTCCGCTAGGGGGTGCCAAAGTGTGCAGAGCACCAACCCTTCTGTTAGAAAGACCGGAGTTCAAATGTGACCTCAGATACAGGCTGTGTGACCCTGGGCAAGTCACTTCACTGCTGTTTGCCTCAGTTTCCTCAGCTGTTAACAGCACCTACCTCTAAAGGTTGCTGTGAGGATCAAATGAGATAATGTTCGTAAAGTGCCTAGTGTATAGTAGGCGCTTTGTGAATACTAGCTAGCTGTTACCAATAGACACCCCAAAACCAGCAGAAGTGTCCAGTACAGCTGAACAGGGCAGAAAGAGCAAACAAACAAACCCGGACTTTGTTTGAGAGAAAGTCAAACACAAAATCCTTTACAGAAAAACCAAACCAACAAACAAAACAAAAACAAAAAATCCCAGAAAACAAATTCTACTTTGGGCAAAAAAGTTAATTCTTTTTAAGAAAAAAAAAGAGTTAAACAGGAAACATCCTCTGGTTCTTAGATCCTATAGAATAAATAATGTAGAATAAAAGAAACTTAATGAAAGAAATATTTTAAAACCTTTCCTTCCCTTCACAATTATCTGAATGGATTTGCTTGATACCCATGGGCGGCTTCAGTTCTGCGTGCTTATTCTTTCTTTAGCTCAATCATTTTTCACGTGGCTGTGTGAGGGGGCAGAAATTCTAACTCCCTCGTGCTCATTTGAATGCGTGTGGTTTTTGCTTCGTGACTTGGAAGAACATTGCAGTGTGAGGGAGGGAGGACTAGAGACAAGGGTCAGATTGGACCATGGGAGAGAGAGACACCGCATCTCAGACTGCCCAGCGCCTTGCTGTGCTGGGCTGGCCATCCGGTCTCTGGCCTGTCAGGGCTCTAGCTCTTTGGGCCCCACGGGCAAAGGGCCCTTAGCTTGGTCGCCAAAGATGCAAATCTAAGTCCTGCTCCTCCCTTGCTGGCTAGGCAGGTGTCAGGCAAGTCATTTGGCATCCTTGAAGCTCAGTTTCCTCCTTTGCTAAAATAGAGGTAATATCCCCTTACTGACCCTGTAGGGAGTATGTGAGCATCAAATGTAAGTGTGCAAAAGCAGGTTGGAATCCTAACCCTGTAACCCATTAGACTGTGAGCTCCCTGAGGGCAAGGACTGTCTTTCTTAGCTTTTTGTATCCCCAGAGCTCAGCATAGTGCCTGGCATATAGTAGGTGCTTAATAAATGTTTATTGATTGATTGACTATATTATAAGGGGTAGCTTGTCATAGTGGACCAAGAGTGCCGCTATTGTACTGCCTGAACCTACGCTCACCACAGTGAGGAAATCACACACATGGTCCATAAAGAACATATGCCAGGCATTTACTTTTTGTTCAGACCTACAATTTCATTAAAGTAGGAAAAATTCCCTCTTCTCAGGCCCATCAGCAACTTTTCTGAGCTTAGAGGGCTGCCTGGGGCAGAGGTTAAGCGACTTTGCCAGGATCACCCAGCTGATGTGTCAGGCAGAACCTGAACCGCGGGCTTCCTTACTCAGTGCCTGCTCTCTGTTCACCATGTCATTCTCTTCCCCACCACCCCCTCTTGGAACACAAATCAGATCAACTCCACCATTGCGCGGCGTGGTAACTGACTAACCTGTGGTTGTACTCACTATGTCTGTGACTCCCCCATCCCAAACATCCTTCCCTGGCTCCCACTCACCACCAGGGGTGGTTGCCCCTAGGAGAATGCAAGCCCCACCACTACTACTACTACCACAACCACTACTACTACTACTACTACTCCTACTACTCCTACTACTCCTACTACTACTGCTGCTGCTGCTGCTGCTACTGCTGCTACTACAGCTACTACTACTATTGCTACTACTACTACTACTGCTATTGCTACTACTGCTACTGCTACTACTACTACTGCTATTGCTGCTGCTACTATTTCCCACCCCCACCCTCAATAAATAAAAATATAGACCTAGCAGAAGAAATTCAAAATATTATAGAACAAGATTAGAACAGTATCTCCTATCAGCTAGGAGAGTTGAAGAGATTTTCAATGACTCCACAACAGATGAGCCTCTTCACCAATATTCTCATTCAAGTAAAAAAATCTATTACCTCATTTCCATGCTTTGCATCTTCTCCAGGAGATTGCTCCCACTATGAATCCCACTCTTTCTGCAACCTTCCATCTCTCTCTCTCTCTACTATTGCCTTCCCTGCTGCCTAAAACACTCCTGTGTTTCTCTATCCTTTAATCTCATTGACCCCACTATTACTGTATATTTCTCCTTCCCTTCTCAGCTAAACTCCCTGAGAAAGCCCTACATGGTGCCTCTACTTTCCTCTCCCTTGATACTAAAGCCTCTAACATCATTTGATGCAAACTGCTTTCTCTGAAGTCCTAAGTGATCTCTTTGTTGCCAGATTCAATGACCTTTTCTCCATCCTCCTTCTCCTGGACCTCTTGGCAGCCTTTGACACTGTTAATCACTGTCTCCTTTCTAGGACATTTCTCCTTTCTAGGTTTTTCATGACACCTCTCTCTTCTGATTCTTCTCCTAACCATCTGACTGCATCTTCTCAGTCTCCTTTGCTAGATTTTTAGTCAGGTCATGCCACTAAATATGGATACCCCCAAGGCTCTGTCCTGGGCCCTCTTTTCCTTTCATACTTTTCCCCTTGAAGATTTCAGCACCTCCCATGGGTTCAGCTCTCATCCCTGTACAGATTGATTCCTAGATCTACATATCCAGCTGTAATCTCTCTCCTGAGCTCATGGCTATCACCAATTACCTCTTGACATTGTGAGCTGTATATACCATAGACATCTAAACTCAAAATATTAAAAACTGGACTCAATTTTCCCTCCAAAGCTTTCCCTCTTCTTAACATCCCTATTACTGTTCAAGGCACCACCACCCTCCTACTCATCCAAGCTTTCAACCTGGGGGACATCCTTGACTCCTCTCTCACATCCATGCTACATATCTGATTTATTGCTAAATCTTGTTGCATCTGTCTTTACAACACCTCTCATCTCTATCCTCTTCACTCACACAATCACCACCTTGGTGCAGGCTTTTGGTTATATTTCATGCCTTAGGTCTCTCCCTATTCTGGGCTACCCTCCACCTACATGCCAAAGTGATCTTCCTATAGAACAGGGCTGTCCATGTCACTCCCCTACTCAGTAAATTGCAGTGGCTCCCTATTACCTCCAGGCTCAAATATAAATCCTCTCTTGGGCTTTTAAAGCCCTTCACAACCTATTTCCTTCTTACCTTTCTACCTATCTTTTTATCCCTTGCTTTACAGATCCAGAGACACTGTCTTCCCTGAACAAGACACTCCATCTCCTTATTCTGTATTTTCCCTGGCTGTCTCCCATGCCTGTTGTTTTCTCCTTCAGCATCTCTGCCTCCTGGCTTCCCTGTCTTCCTTTGTGTCCCAGCTGAAATCCCAACTCCTACAAGAAGCCATTCCCAATCACTCTTAATGCTAGTGCCTTCCCTCTGTGATTATCTCCCACTCCCCTTGTTTATAACTTGTTTGTCCCTCACTGTTTGTGTGTTGTCCCTCCCCCATCTATTGCCCTGAGCTCCCTGAGAGCAGCAACCTTATTTTTGCCTTCCTCAGTATTTCCAGCCTTTATGAGAGTAGCTGACACACAGAAAGTATTTAAGGAATGCTTGCTGATTGATTTATCATGAGGAAAGTTCTTCATAAAATTGAAAAGTGCTCAGAAATGTTACCACTGTTCTTTTTTCATTCATTATCATTTGACTGACCCTATGAGTTGTGCAACTACTGCTGTTATCACTGGTCTGGAAAGAAAGTGCTAGAATTCAGACATCAATTTCACTGTGGTTGTTTTTAATGGCTGTAGAATAATGTTTGAAGGGCAAGAAAGTTGGACATTGATAAGCAGGGAGAGAACAGGATGGAAAAGGTTCTGGAGTGCATGGCATATGAAAATTCATTTAAGGAACTGGAGTGTTTAGTCTGGCATAGAGAAGACTTAGCATGGGAGACATTATCCCTGTCTTTCGGTATTTGCGGGACTGTCACATGGGAGGTAGAATGGATGCATTCTGCTCGGCCCAGAGGACAGAACTCAGACTGATGGGTGGGAGTTGTAAAAAAAGCAAATTTAACCAGGAGGTCAAGCAAATCTTCCCAATAATGAGAACCATCCTAAAGTGGAGGAGGCTTTTTCTGAGAGGTG